TGAACCGAATGCGATGCTATATTGCTACATAAAAAAAAAACAACGAACAGAGACCATAAGTCTTCAAAGTATGACGGACAATCTCAGTGAAAGCTGACTATCCGGCTCTGGAAATCGGAATTTTCATTGCATTTATTGGAGAAAAAGAAGATATCTAAAAAGGTGGGCAATTATTGGAAAAAGAGAATTATTGGAAGGTAATTTATTATTGGAAGGCAATTATTGGAAATTCGACATATTATCACTCCAAGCGTAAGCATAATAGGTTATATTTTAATCACTTACAGCCGTGACATCGACACTGACACGGCCGGTCGCGGCTGGCGCGCGGCGGCGACAGCTGCTCGCCGGGCCGTGAGCCGCACGCCGCCTGCAATATGCAGATTGCAATGCGGCGGCTGCCGGAGCGATCAGCCGGAGACGAGCGGCCGCGCTGGAAAACAGCGGGCCGTACCGCCGCTGCCGGCCGCGACACGTGTGAGGCTTACCGGGACAGCGGAGCGGTGGTGCCGCAGATGTCTGCAGGGCCGGGCGGATTGGATGAAATGATAGATGGCACGATAGATGGCACTTTTGAGGCAGCAGGCAAAAGAGGAAGCATGATTGAAAGAGAGTGAGTGACGTCTGGAAGCATAAGTAGGTAATGCGCTCATAAATGTCGTCGTTCTACTTTGAATGGTTCAAAGTTGATAACAATGAAATAGTAGCTTCCAACAGCTTAAAATAGCAGCTTAAAATGACAGCTTCCAGAAAAGAGGAGGGTAATTGAATGACGTCGTGACAATGGGTGTTGCCAAGAACGCGGCGAGGGAGCAGCAACACCTCGTGCAACGATGATGATGAAATTCACGGCCAGCGTCTCGGCCGGTTCCATCTGTTCACCCGGCTGCGGCACAGAGCTCTGCCGTGTGCCGTACACGGTCTGCGGCCCAGCCGTGGAGACGCCGTCCCGAGCAGCCACTCTCGGCGCACCCCGTCCGCGGCCTGGTCGGGACGGCAAACAGACAACACCGCGATCGATGGCGGCACGGGCCCGAGAACCGTCCGGCCCGGGCCAGGAGAGACCGACCGAGACCGACCGGCCTGCACGGCACGGTCGGCCTCGCGGACAGTCCGTTCCGGTGGAGGACCGTCCGCACGAGTCGGGACCTCCGCTGCCAGCAAGCGGGACTCTGTGTGGGACGAGGAGATGCCACAGACACTGAACGGACCACGACAGGGCAGTCCACCCCTGCCGCCGGTCCTGACTCCCGCTGTGTACCGACTACCGACCCAGCTGCGACCTGCGACCGGTCCCAATCCGACGGCTACGGCCGGCGCGGCGGCCTCTAAGCCCGGGTCGGAACGGCTCCACGTCACATATGGGGCCGTTCAGGTGATGGGAGTCCCTCTGAAGCCGAATTGAACGGCCACGGATTCAAAGTTGAGCATTTAACCGAGGATTGGTGGGCGGCGAGCTTATTGGGGCTCCAAGTCCCGAGAGCCCTGCAGAACTCAACTGCCACCCGGAGCTCCACACAACTAAAATAGAGCACAAGCACCGACACAAAATGTCGCAAACTGGAAGCTGAACGGAGGGCCAGCCCAGTGCAATTTCCGACGTGATAGGCATGGTTAAATGAATGACGGGCTGACTGAAATTGAAAGTCGCAGTTGCTTCCGGACAGAGGCGGAGGCATTGGCGTCGGTGGCGGTGGCGGTGGCGGCGGCTGATATTGGGGGTAGCGGCAGGCCATCTGCTAAGCCACGTCGCGCCCATCTGTGCACAAATTGTGACTACAGACAGTCACTGTCATTGCGAAGGATCGCGGGACGGAGCACACCGCCCGGTATATGCCGGCCGGGCAGCCCGCTCGGCGGCACGGCGGGTCAGCGGAGGAGTGCCTGCACGGAGCTGATAAGCGACGGCACCCGTCCGAGGGGCCGTCGAGACTCGTCCGAGCGACCGCCGAGCCCGTCCGTCTGCTGACGAGGTCGGGGTGGGCAGCAGAGCTGAGGGCGAGTCACAGAGGACGCCGGGAGATGGGTGGTGCCCGTGCCAGCGGAAGGCGTCACCGCCAGGTCAGATCGCCACAGAACGTCACAGACCGTCACGGAGCGCAATATTCATTGTCGGCGGTCAAACGAAAGAACCGATACACATTAATGTCTTCAATTTGCAAACATGCAAGTCATGCCTCGATTCCTGCACCCGATCGAACGCGAGCACTGCCTATTCATAGTCGCTCCCCACGCCCGTGTTTGCGGCTCCACAAAGTACACACCTGTTATGAAAGCCCCATTCCTTGTCCATTGGCATTAATCCGCCCCCGCACGCGACAGCGGCGCCGCCGTCGGTGAGTTCAATAGCGGCACATTCAGCGCAGCGCTCGATTCGTGGGTCGGCACCGTCGGCAGACCGGGCGGGACGCGGCGGGGCGTGACGGGCCGACACACCGTGACGGCCGGAGCGGCATCGACCGGCCCGGCCGGAGTCGGTCGGCCGTGACGGGTGCGGCGCGACGCGCCCGCACCGGTGTCCTCAGCTCGGCCCGTCCTGCGACCCTGAGCGGTCCGGTCCGGCCAGCCCCGCGTCTCGCTCCGTACGGCAACAGGTGGGCGCGGAGCTCATGTGCTGAGGGCCGCTGGAGCGCCAATGGTCCTCGAGCACGGACGGACGGCGCAGCCTGCGGCCGTGCTGTCCGCATGAACGGTAGCTAGGCCGGTTTAGACTGAGCCGGCCGCCTAGCTGATGGAAAACACCAAACGGTAGCCCCTGCCTGGGCCACAGCACAAGGAGGGACATCATGATCAACGCGGTAGACTGAATTAGCTGTGGTGTCAATCTTTTGGTCCCGCAATGTTGACTATGTAACCCATAGTGACTCATGATAATCACGTGGAAGGAATGCAGTAACGTAATGGCGCACACCCACGTTCCATTACACATACACATTCAACAGAACTATTCAGGATTACAGAATCCAACCCAATAGGTCGAGAGAAAACTTCCCTGGAGCACAGAAAAAACACACTAGAGCAATCAGAAACGGCTGTCCTTTGGTCCTAAGCATTGCCGTCAAGCTTTCTCTTCACGCATAGAAAGAACACTTCAGGTTATGCAATAAGCCAAATGCTTACTGCGTCGTTTATCCAAAGCATCTAAAAACCCCTTGTACGCATATCCAGAGCCAATAGATGTGCCGCATTACACGTTCGCAGCCACAAAATACAGTCGTGAGGCGGCCCTCCCCGGTAAAAACTCGGCCGTTCCGGCGCAGGATCCAGCACTCCCCGGGGGCAGCATTCGGCGCGGCTCGTTACAGCATCTGATGGGCCCGCGGCGCCGCCGCACGCCATCCGAACCAGCGTAATTGCCTCGCTGTGGAATATCTGAAAAGTTTAGGGTCAATTTAAATATATATTGCATGTAGCACCCCGGCTGCATTATGAGCCGGATAATTGCCCGCCTTGGCAAGTAGTGGATCACGGTTCAGTCAGCACGTCCGTTGGCAATCGCTATAGCAAATAACAAACCGCTGTAGCATCATAGCGTATCGGCTGAAATCTACAGCAATTCGTGCAAGCCGCTTTTAATACCATTAAATTGACACCATTTCATTGCAGGTACCGACAGAAAAATCCGCTAATTGATTACGCATTATCGCAGATAGCGTTTACACAATAAAAAATCGCAACAATATAAAACGACGAAACGCTTGGAAGTTCCTTGCAGACTCAGCAAAATGTGGTGAGTCAATGGCCGTTCCATCACATGATATGTTGCAAAAGCGAGGGATCCATCACGGAACAGTAACCATGACAAAACAACAGTGACATACTGTATGCTAGTCTCCGGTCTCGGTCAGCACGAGAAGTTACATAAAGCCCCAGCCGGGGTTTCGTCAAATGCTCGCCAGCATAGCGACAGATGAGTGAAGGGCCTGTGAAGCTCTGCTTCTATTCAATTCGTTGTGAAACGGCTTCGTCCAAAACACAACAAATCAATAAAATTCCGTCCCAGTGTATACGAAACTCATAAGCACTTAGAGTGAAACCAGACAACCGGAGGCGTCAATTCCTATCCACCATTACAGCGACCCGACAAATCCCACGTCGATAGGACGGCAGCTCTCCCAGGAATCCATTGTGCCGACCAATAGCGACACACCCATCCCGTCCGGGCGGCGCGGCACACTTCTGTCCGCCGAACGGGGCGCACTCGGCCGCTGACGTCCTCGGGATGCGGGGCCCGCCGCCGGAGAGGCGCGATGAAACGGCGCCCGCAGCCCGGCGCCGTGACCGGCATACGCGCCGCCGGGGCCGCCGAGTTATGGAAACAAACAGCCGAGCGGCCGGCCGGCGCGTCCGAGCGGCAGGCCGGCGCGTCCGGCCGTCATCTTCGGCACCGCAGCGGGCGCCGCGGATGTGACCGAAATGGGATGACGGAGAGTAGGAGGGAAAAGGCCGAGACGGAGCTGGCTGGATCAGACAACAGGACGCCGCCGCACAGCCGGGCAGAGAACACGAGACCAGCACATCCGCAAAGGATATCGTTCACAGTGCTGTGAACTCTCTGTGAACGGATATCCTTTGCACTCAGCTCTCAGCTCACAGTGAACAATTCACGTCTGCAAAAGGAAAATATGAAAAAGTGGATTTACTATACCAAAGAACAGCTAGGCTGAGTTGACAAAGTGTAGCTGGCTACTTGTCAGGAGGAGACTACAGGCTAATCCCAAACGCCAGCCATGGTTGGAGTGAAGGTGAAACCACAGCATTATACAGTTGATAACCATCGAAACGCGACTCCTAGGCTCTAAAGTAGCCCAGTCACCCACTTGACTTCCCGGTCATGAGCAGCTTAACAGTCCGACAGTCCGGAGAACTACCCGTCAGTGTGCTCCGTTGTCTGCAGCTATTGTTTGTTTCCCGGACACTGCACGGAGTCGGCCACTCTGATCACACAGCCCGTCCCCTCGCCCCTCGGAGACTACACGAGCTACTCCGCCGACACTCACCGATGTGCACCTGCCCGCCGCGGACGAGCGGGCCGCGCGGCGCCAGGGCGGCCACGCTGACGGCACCGGCGGGCTCGGCGGGCGCCAGCTGGTGGTGGCCGATCAGTCCGAGCACGCTCTCACAGAGCGGACCGTGCTGGACGGCGGCCGGCCGACCGGCGCCCAGTCTCACCACCACGCGGTACACCTGCAGCACGCAGAGGCGGCAGTTCAGGGACCGCACCGCGCAAATACGGGAGTGAATGGACGGCGTCTACACACGGGTCGACGTCAAGGTATGTCACAGAAATGGTACATTACTTCTTATGAAACTGGAATTATGTATCAAGATCAGAAAAAACATCGTCAGTCATGGAACTATGCATCATGATAAGAGAAAAACAATCGTCAGTCATTTGGCAACAAGATAAGTGATTTCTAACGGAAATTTTGCTTAACCAATGAATAGATATTGGAAATACAATTCATGACATGTCTGCCTTCGGCAGAGACACGAATTAATACAGGAAGCAGCGAGACTAAAGCAGTGATTAGAGATGGCCGATCTTAGGGCTAATGAGGCGATAGCGCAGCGGTGAGTCCACTTGGTATTCAATGCGCCACATTAATAATACATCAGCCATGCACTTTCCGAAGACCGGAACAAAATTACGACCATGACGGAAGACATGAGCATTAGGGTGTCCATGATGGCCTATGAATATAATTGCGCTGGTGTCACAATGCGGCGGCCAACACGAATTACCCAGCGAGCCACGAGGCACAGTAACGCAATAGTCAGCCACGTCCATGCCTAATGTACCCAACAATAACTACAGACGCCAACGGGCTGTTCCCACGTAAATATATTGACGTACCTATTAGGTAGACGTGCGTGCACTTTAGCTAGTCAATGACTTAGGCTTTCGTTGACTATACCGGGTGGCCCAGAAAAAACGTTCCGAACTTTGGAGGCCTATATATCAAATTCGAGTACAAATAACGAGCCAAAATTTTCATCAAGTTTGCGTCATTTCTTTGCGCATTGGTATGCCAAATTATAACACTATACCATCATTTTCAAGCTGGCAATCTTGAGTTGAATTAAGCAAGACGGTTTTGCTTTTTTTGCCGATGTCAAACGATAGTGATGATTGGGTTAGACGTCCCATGTTATAAAAAAGAATAAAAAATAGAGCACGTGAATGAAACCAACACGTATGTTCTCATCTTAAATATTTTTGTCCCACTTATGTGCCAAATATTCAAATACTGATCCAAAATGATGCTCATGGATGCCATTCGTTTCAACACCAAATCATGTTTCGAGCAGGAGTGGCACGGTGCATGGATTACTGCTAATTATCCTCCTTTCAGTAGATCAAATAGTAAATCGACCGGATAAGGAAAACAAACTAAAGCAGACTGGTTCCTGTGCCAGAAGACCACAGAATAGCTTATGAAAAACAACATTGCCAGCAGATGATAAAAAAGTGGTTGAAAAGCTACCTTTTCCCAGGAATGTCAGCCAGGAAAGCATTTGAGCCACAAGATGGCTAGAAAACTGGAAACTTCTTCCGATGCCGCTGGCACAGAGCCATCATGGTTGCCTGAGGGAATGTGTCATCCTGAGACCCGAACCATCAATGAGACTAGTTGCCAGTAGCAGTCATGGCTCTAGGCCGTGGTGCCGCGGGGTGAAAGTGACCCGGTCACTCACAATTTTTAGTAAACATCGGAGCAAAAAAGTAATTTTTACATGACATGCTTGAAACACGAACCGTTTGAACAGTAACTTACCGAACACCATGAAAATCACACCATTTACTGAAAATGTGTGCCGCATTGACTATTCGAAGTTTCAATGTTGTATCTTTATCACTTTCTGAGAAATATTGATTTAAAGTTGGGAACGTTTTTTCTGGGCCACCCGGTATAGTCAATCACTCAGCGTTACTACGCCTTCTGACTAAACATTCAGCAGGTAAATGCTGACATTGCTGAAGACTATCGACGGGCAAGTGCTGAAATTAGAGATGCAGTGGAGACAGCCGTGCGGACCAGACGGTGCCGGCTCGGCTGACCCTCCCCGCCGACAGCCGCCGGTCGTTCTCACCTCTCCGGGCTCGGCGGCCGCGCCGCTCCCGGACGGGCCGGCCGGCGCGCGGCGCTGCGGCGAGAGTGGCGCGGCCGCGCTCAGCTCGGCGCGGCCGGCCCGCTGCGAGCGCCGCCGGCGCAGCAGGTGCTGCAGCTTGCCGCTGACCGGCGGCGGCGGCGGCGGCGGCGGCGGCGGCGGCTCGGCCGGGCCGCCGGCCGCGCTCACCGGCGCCTCCTCCACCTCCGCGTAGAAGAGCTCCCCGCGCGAGTCGACTGGGGACGCCCAGACCGGCGGCTCGGACCTGCAGCAAGAGGAGGAGAAGCCCGTCACGGCGTGCCGGGGAGCCGGCTGCCGCTCACCCCCACCCCGCTGGAGCCGTTGGATCGCTGGGAGAATCTAGAAGCAACAATTCAGCATGCCCACGGACTCACACAGTAAATTCCATCCCCTGAATTAAAGGTAGTGTGCCAGCTTTCCTGGACCGTATGGAGTTAATGGCCCAGATAAGGAGAACCGGATTTTTTGAACTTATCCATACCTTCAAAACTCATGGAAACGTCTTAAATTCTTCAAATTTTGAGTACCCCAGTGCGAAATTCGCCCCGACGGGTTGTCGGTCGTGACGTACCCCAACCACATTTCACACCACTATGAACAATAAATGCACGCACTGAAATCGCTATTACCGATATGCTCATCCAATCAAGTTTCGATAAACCCGTTCATCATCATCTACTGCGGTTTCGAACACGCCTGTTAGGTGGTGCGGTAGACCGCGCCCAAAGCCAGGGCCCCGGTAACGTGAGGTAGCCGAGTCGGGGCAGCGTGCGCTGACCCAAGCCGGGGCCGCGCGTCCTCCCGGTGTCATGTGATAGCCCGGGGCTGCCCGCGGGGATGCGGTAGACCGAGCCCAAAGCTGCGGCCCCGGCTTGGGTCAGCGCACGCTGCCCCGACTCGGCTACCTCACGTTACCGGGGCCCTGGCTTTGGGCGCGGCTTCTGCTCATACTTTGTGGTGCGGTGGTGGTGCGTCGGGCCGCGCGCTCTGACTTCGGCCAAGAAAAATGCGTCAGCTGATCATTGTCATTTCTGCCACTTGCGTGTGGTGAAATGGGGTCATAACTTAAGAGACGGCTTTTTCACATCAATTATTTTACATAAAATCATATTTCAAACCATAAATAATGTTCGACAGCCAAATAAAAGAAACAATACCAATACAGGCTTACAGTTTAAGGCTCGACATTGTGTTGTCTACGATTAGACAGCTGATAACTCATTCCCGTACGTCGTAACTCTATAATGACCTTTGCTTATTGTCACATGTGCGCCGCATTCGCGATTGTTGCCGACGCCTGTTTGCAGGTCAGCCCACTACAGTTGTTATACATATCGAAAAACCGATAAACTTTTAGGCGAAAAAAGGCACTATTCCAGGCCCATTTTTGATTTTTTTTGCGATATTTGGTAAAAACAGAAGCTTCTTATCCTAGGAAAAATAAAATGGGAAATCTTTCAAAGGTGGCACACTACCTTTAAATGCCCATGGGCTGCTCTAGTAAAATAATAAAACAATATCCCAGTTGACCCAGTTTGAAATGATTTGTATGAATGGAACACCAGCGTGCTCAACCCTGAGCTCACCCTTGGGGTGTGAGGTGCTCTGTCATCTGAATTTGAATATGTATAGCTTTTCCTAGATATCTTCATCGTGATACCTTGGCTCATAGATAGTTCGCCATAACAAAATACCAATACCTACATTTGGAAGTGAGCAGAAAATGGAAAACCTGTTTCAGGTTAAAGGTTAAATCATTGTGCAGAAGATGGGCTTCAGAGCTGCCAGAAGCCAATAGCCCAGTTGCATTGAACTTTGAAGTACCCTCCAGCACAACACAGGGATCCTTGAGTCCTTGACAGTTGATACTGAGATGACTGGCCATGGTTTTAGGTCACTCATGATGTGGAATAGTCTGCAAATGTGCAGGCTCTGCAAAATCTATTGACAGCTTTAAAAAAAGCAATGGAATCAGTAAGAAACCACAAAAATCGGGCATATTTGCCTACCATTTACATTGTATCCTTATTGAAGTGATTTTTCATTTACATCAAAACATTTGGGATTCCAATTTCAAATTCCTCTCATTTTAGTTATGTACTGGGCCTGGAGCCCTGGAGAGTGCAATCTGGCCAGAGACCAGTAAGCATCCAGATTTAGGTATACCTATGTGCTGTGAGTGGAACTGACCTTTGTGGTATGCACTATGCAGGTATGCCTCATGGATGAAGTGGCATATATTTGTCAGCTGCTTGATCAGGATGCAGAAATGGAACTGGAGATGTGCATTAGAGGTAAAATTGGGGCTTGTGGATTTAAATAACAATATGTGAGATTGTCATTGTCATTTGATTTTTCAAAATCAGATTGAATCAGGTAATTCACAACAATCATAATTGGTAGGTAAGTAAAACTTAATCATAATGTACAACATTTACATTTTTAACCCAAGGGAGCACAAAAAACTGGTAGATTCCAGCTGCCAGAGTACATATTTGTTAAAGGGACCCTCCCACCTTCAAAAAAGTTTATGAATTGGCATGAAAGTGATGTCGCTCGGTTCAGAAAGAGCGAAAACGATTATCTACCAAATTTCACCGAAAAATATTCACCGGTTTTCAAGATATTAGACTTTTACTTTTGTTTACTTTTTGAGATCTCCGCTGTTCCTAGCGACTTTATTTGGAACCAATAGTTTGGCAGCTGAAAGTGCGGCACTTGTTGCGCGCAAAGCAGCATATACCACCGCGTGCTACAAAACGTTTTAGTCAAACATTTAAAAATTATTAGATATCTGCGCTGACGTCACACATTCAGAGGGGTATTCCTATGCATTAGCCCCTCTGAATCAAAATGCTGCAATTTTGAAATTCAATATTTCCGATTTAAGGCATTTCTTGATGTTGTGAGTGCCAAAACCGGTAATTGTGAGCCAGGGACCCCATTTTGGCTATCTCAACTCAAATCTAATGTTAAGGTGGGAGGGTCCCTTTAAGGAGAATGATTCCTGAGCCTTTGTGGGACCAGAAAGAACCTTAAATTCCAACATTGGACTCACTGTATCCAAATCTTGAAATTTATCACACCACGTCAATCGTCAATGTGCATTAAATAGAAATATACCCAGAGCTCTGTTCAGTCGCTGTTTTTATATCAGCGTGCTGTCAGTTTTCCCAAATAAGGAATTTATTGCTGGTGCTTCTTGGCCTCTCATTGGTGGAATGAATAGACCACGTGAATTCGACCAATGTGGAGCCAAGAAACAGCTGCATGCTTGCAGCCTGCAGATAAAACCTGTGCCCAAACAGAGCCCTGGTCTAAGCAAGCTCATTAACCTGAGCTAAAACTAATAGTAAGGTAATATTTAAGCTAAAATTCATCTCATATAATTTATCATGTAAATAATGCATCTTCCTGCCTAGCATCTAGGGATCTAAATTGAAATACAATTCATATTCATATGTATTGACTTTGAAGGCCGATATCATTACGCAGCACACAAGACTGATCCATCTCAATTTTCTAGTCTCTAAATCTGGCTGTATAGCACAGTAAGTACAGTCAGGAATTTTTCTTTAACATCGCAATTGTCTTCAATAAACCTACTTAACGAAAAAATAGGTAATAAACAAATGGCATCAGTTTATCATGAAGGTACGGCGAATCCAGCGCAATAACATTGGCAGGTACCGCATGAAATAGCGAATAGATAAGTAAATACTTGCCTGTCCGAGTTCTCAGATGACTCTTCATCTCGAAAACCGGCATCCCCACTAGCCGATAAGTAGGAATTTGAAATTAAATTATTTTCCGTCATGAGCACTTCACACCCGCGCCGCTCCACGTCTTGAACTGCTTCCGGCCGACCGGCACGAGAGCAGCAACAAATGTCGAAACGTCAACAGCCGCCGCGGCCTGCTCGGCGGTACAGCATAACTTCAGGCGTTCGCTGCTAGTGCCATCTAGGAGTAGGCACTATAAATAGGAGTAGGAACAGAAATGAGAATTATTGAGGGATAATTCTCATTTCTTTCTCAGAAAAACTTTGCCCTAGTTTTTTGTTCACATACTCTTCTTTCATGCATTTGTCATTACGTGTGTAGGGAAGCCACAGTGCGCAGCGCCGCGCCGGGCCAAACTTGCGAAACACCTAACCGTCGGCTGTTATGGCGTTTTCAAAGCGGATAACGGCTAACGTATCCATACGTCTTTATCCCCATGGGGATAAAAGGTCGTCCCGTTGATAGGCCTCACCCCAGGGATTCGGCTTCTGTTCACAGTGGCTCTGCCATCGCAAGGGGGGGGGGGGCTTCGCCACCGGGGTTGCGGGGCCCCGGATCCCCTCCCTCAATAATTCCATTTTTGTCATGCAACTAGTGATGTCAATTACGGAAAATCGGAATACCGATACCAAACCAAATACCAACCAAAACCCCGGGAAAATACCAAAGCCAAACCAACTTGGGAAACTGAGGGAAATACCAATTTTTTACCGATTTCTTAGCCTCTTATACATTAGTGAGGGCTTATGATGCCAACAAAATACCAAACACATTACGATTGAAATACCAAATACCAAGTTGGTATCGGTTTGGTATCGGTATACCAAAAAGTTGGTATCCGATTGACGTCTCTACATGCAACCTATCGAATAACAGTGTGCATTTTTTTTTTTTGACCCCCCATTCCTGAGACCGTGGTGGGGCCTCTGCCTATTCAAGCTATGAAGAAACATATATAAGCTTGGCACATATATGTATAGATAAGCTAGAATGGAAACCTATATAAGCTTGGCACAGAGCACACTCAATTGGATGATGGTACCTATGAGGGATGAAGGAAGCGCATCCATTCTTATGCCTCGGATTTTCTTATACACCTCCATCTGAGTAAGTGGCCACGGTTCGTTCCTCCACTCCTCCGTCCCTCCGGCAATTTTTGTTATCGGAGCGGGCTCGTTTAGCGATTGATTTTCAGCTTTTGCCGTGGCAGCGGAGAGGCGAACATGTTTTTCCTAGGTCTATCTGAGCGGCATCTGCTGTGGCGGTCCAGGCTGTCGGGCCGGCCGGCTCATCCTCGTCCCAGGACTCCCAGCCCACTAGTCTCCCTACCCTGTCCTGTACATATAGCCCGCGGATTGTCCGTTCTGCTGCCCGCCGGGCAGCAAAACAGGCAAGTGTCCCGTGGCAAGTAAACGTGGCAAGAAGTGTCCCCCCCCCGCTGGGAGACACTTCGCATCACCCTTTTCACCTCGTGATATGACCAATGACCATTGAGCAATGGCATTGTGACATGACCATCAATGATCATCCAGTATGCAAAAGCTCCGTTACGGGGCTGGGGCTGGGGGTTTAGGCTTCCCAACAGTTTCGCATCCGTAATGCAATT